CTATGTAAGTTTAAAAAGCTACAGCTCTAAATGTTCTTAGAAACAATGAATAGTACATATGTGTAAATTTTTATAATATGCAATATGTTGTATATATGTATTTACATGCAATACATTGTATGTGTGCAGTCAAATTGTAACAGTTCTACCTAAGAAAAATGAAAAATGAAAAAAAAAAACCCAGTATGGGTACTAGCACAAAAATAGACACACAGATCACTGGAACAGAGAAGAGAGCCTAGAAATAAACCCACATGTTTAGGGTCAGTTAATATATGACAAAGGAGACAAGGATATACAATGGAGAAAAGACAGTTTCTTCAATAGGTGGTGCTGGGAAAACTGGATGGCTATATGTAAAAGAATGAAATTAGAACATTCTCTAACATCATATAAAAAAATAAACTCAAAATGTATTAAAGACCTAAATGTAAGAACGGATACTACAAAACTCCTACAGGAAGACACTGGCTGAACACTCTTTGACATAGTTTCAGGAATTTTTTTTTCAAAACACCTCCTAGAGTTACTAGAATATTAGAAATAAAAGCAAAAATAAACAAACTGGACCTAATGAAACTTAAAAGCTTTTGCACAGCAGAGGAAACCGTAAACAAAATGAAAAGACAACCCCTGGAGAAAATCTCTGCAAATCACATGGCCGACATGGGCCTAACTTTCAAAATACACAAACAGCTCATACACATTAATATAAAATGAAGATACGAACAACCAAATCAAAAAGTGGGCAGAAGATCTAAACAGACACGTCTCCAAAGAAGCCATCCAGGTGGCCAACAGACACATAAAGAGATGCTTAATATCACTGATTATCAGAGAAATGCATATCAAAACTACAATGAGGTATCACCTCACACCAGTCAGAATGGCCACTATTTAAAAGTCCACAAGTGATAAATCCTGGAGAGGGTGTGGAGAAAAGCAAACCCTCCTACACTGCTGGTGGGATGTAGTTTGGTGCAGCCATTATGGAAAACAGTATGGAGATTCCTCAAAAAACTTAAACTAGACTTACACATATGATCCAGCAATCCTAACTCCTGGGGATATATCCGGAGAGAACTCTAATTCGAAAGTTACCTGCACCCAATGTCATAGCAGGTCTATTACAATAGCCAAGACATGGACGCAACCT